TTTCTCCGGAATTAAGAAAGGCCTAATTGTATAAATTACTTCGGAATTAAATTAGTGCTCATTACTAAGACACGCCTCCAATCGGAATATGCTGAATACACTAATTATGGCATGGTGAAAAAAAATTTGGAATGAGGTTAACTAGATTATTTGGACTTGAGGCTGTGTTTTCTGAAAACCAGAAACTTGAAGTGATGGTAAATAATGTTCAAGCTAATGATTGACCATGACGCTGAATTTTTCATGATTGTGAATTGTCTTAATGTCTGAAAGTAGATCAAATCGCACTGTTTTTTTCTTCTCCTCGTTCTTGTATTTAGATTTATTTCAAAAAGGGGAATTTGAAGCTTTTCAAGGTTTTCAGTCTGGATTAAGTTTCACTCTTTCTGAAAATTTACGGTATTGAAAACAAAGCTTGATTATATTTAAACTTACTATTTTTTGGGAATTTGAAGCATTTCAAGGTTTTCAGTCTGGATTAATTTTCACTCTTTCTGAAAATTTACGGTATTGAAAATAAAGCTTGATTTTATTTAAACTTATTATTTTGATTTTTTCGTCGGATTCAACTGAATCAATTTGATACGTGAACTGATCAAATGCATGAAATAATATTTTTTGTAACATATGGTTTCAACTAATTCCGTTTTATTTGATGTGGTTTTTGTAAAATTTATTTATTGCAGTTTGTTACAGCTGATAATGCTCTGATTTTTTTGTTTGTTTGCCTGGCTTTCATTTTATTTTGACCAAGGTCGTTTCTTTGTTCTACGAAAAAATTTCCGCTTAAATTGAAATTTTTTTATCGAGTAAATATTCTCCGAATTAATTTTTTAATGTTGGATCTTTCTTGGTCGAAAGATGTAAGAAACCTATGTGTTATTATCTGGGTTATCCAGAATTTTGTCTTGAGATATTTCTGGGAACAAACTTACTGTACCAGAAAAAGGTGTACCTAACTGTTATTATTTCTTGAGTGAGTGCACCTTTTTTTTTTCTTTGGTCCTGAACATAATGATGTTCAGCCCTAAGTTCTCGGAAAGGAACGGCCGATCCCTTGCATTCAAAAAATAAAAAAAAAGAGCATTGAAAAAAAAAAGCATTATTTTATTGTGAGCGACGAGACAATTGCCAAAAGAGAGATTATTTGCATCCCACGGATTCTGCGAAATCTTGTTGGGACTCAGTGGGAGGGGTGGTTTGTTCGACGAATTATTTTTGTGCTCGAAACCGCAAAAGGAAGCGAAGTGTCAGTTACCCTTGGCAAAACCTTTCTGCCTTTTGCAAGGACAAATAGTGAGCCACAACGATATGAGTAAGAAAAATGACTAATCCCCAGATGGAATTTTTTTTTCATCCTCTGGTTTTATTGGAATCCGCAGTGGAACCTTTCAAAGTTGAATTGCAGTGCATAGGGACCTTGAAAAAATTATAACTTATGGTAGTTCTGAGTTAAAGAACAATGTCAAATTTGTGAATGAAAACTCCTTTCTTTTCTGATATCGTATAGAATACGTGTGCAAAATAAGACATTGCATTGTGCGCTAGAAAAAAAATTTTTTATCCCATGCAAAAAATTTGACTTCTGAAGCTTTCCATTCAGAGAATACTGCCTAATTTTTGAATGAAAACTCTTGTCTGATATCCTAGAAGCCATGTTTAAAAAAATTGGACTGTGTGCGAGAAAAATCATGAATATTTTTTTTTGGTATCCACTGATTCTGCGAATACTGTATTGTCAAGATCAGTTGGAGGGTGTTCCACGAATAAAATCGATGCACATTATTTTGAGCCTAATAAATTGCATAGTTTTTCTCTTTTTTTTCTCGGAAAGAGATGCTCAAAAATACAACAACAAAAACAAATGCTGATATGATGTGACGAGTCAGATTTTCTCAGTCTGCTGAAAAATCTTTTTTTCTTCCATTCTAAGAATAATATTTCTCACTACCTGTTGTTCAGTGCTTTTTTTTGTGTGTTTCGGTGTATGAATTCCGAGTGATTTTGTGTTTGAAATAATTGAAATATAATCCCTGAAATTCTCATGGTAAACCAGTTTTTGTTGATCCGAGGCATTGTGTCTTGTTTATTTTGTTTCTTTTTCATGAAAATTCAGTTTCATTTCACTCAAAATTATTTCGGTCAGCGGCGTTTACTCCACTTTTTTTTTCAGGGTATAATGTCGATTTTCATTGATTTTTTTTCTACGAAAAATATGATCGAATTCCTTGTGGTCTCTTGTATTAGTTGATGCCATGCGTGAAACCAAATTGCTTGCATTTTTTATTATTTGGATTTTCAGAATGGCACGAAATCCAAAAATTAAAAAAAATGGCATTCTATATTTCCAGAGTTTGAACCGTGATTATTTTCACCTCAGCGTGAAACAAAAATTCTTTCTCCGCACATGAAGTTTCATGCGCGGAATGCGGGTGTGAAATTACGCATGACCTGAAATTTAAAAAGGATGGAAACAATGGGGTGGGGGGGGGGGAAGAAAAAATGTGGTTGAATTCATGGTTTTGAGGTCGAATTCGGGGAAGCCATCAACGTGATCTGTGGCCTGTGACCAGCTGGTTTGACTGGCGCCATTATCTGGACAGCAGATCGGTGATTCACATCCCAAATCGTTATTTTTTTTTGGGCGAATAATTTAAAATTGGTTGGAACATATTTTGGAAGTGATCAATTGTAGGAAATAATAATACAAAAGCGTCCTTGTCCCATCACGTGATTTTTTCTTTAAATATAAAAAATGTGAAAATACCCCATGTGTTGATTTGAAAAACGAATTTACGCAGAAAAATCATCTCCGGAGAAATGTTTTGTTTTAGGTGTATTCAAAAATTTTAATAAATCACAATTGCAATGATGATGTTAATCTGTAATATGAAATGGTGATCAAAAGCGTTTCACCTTTGATTTAAAATTACGGTATGCTGATATGTAAAAATTTGATTAGAAATAATAAATATATGGAGTATTTAAAAAGTTCTCCTTTAACATAAATTCTCTGTGAGAGATCTTTATCTTATTAGACTATTAAAATCACAATTGTGAGGTTACTCCGATTTTTATTTTTGTAATCTCATTGAAGTAAGTATTTCACCTGTGATTTCAAATGAAGCAGTTATAGAAAAATTTCATCTTCGGATACCAAGTGTCCGGAAATTGTATTTCGTGCAACATAAGATCATTCTCGTGAGTCAGATTCTCAGGAAGCAAATTGCTTTAAAAAATGTGCGAGTTCCCCATTCTGCACTTGATTGTTTTTTTTTCGTTATTCTTGTGGGAAAGTAAACCTGCGTCATAAAATGCGTCAAATTTTTTCGGATACCGAGAACAGTGCAGTGATTCTTCTGGTGTTGACAACGTCGGTTCTGAGTTCGAGGACGTTTGTGGTCTTTCTCTTCTTGGGATTATTCTTACTTTCTCCTATGGTGTGTGATTAGGAACATCCGGCGTGGTTTCGTCTTTGCTTGGTTTCCTTTAGTCCCCAGCGATAAGTTTTCTTCCTGTTGAGGGTGAATGATAAAAAAAAGAGAGACCTCACAATTGTGTGACAAAAAAATTGAGTGTGGTAAGTTGGGGAAAATGTTCTCGTTCCAGCCGGAATCAACTTTTTTTTCTCAAGGAAAACTGTGTTCTGCGATAAGGCCGTTATCCGGGGTAATGTTTTAGTGTTTTTATACAGTTTGGGGTTGACATTTTAAGAAATCCGGCGAGTTCAATAAACTTTCTTAAATTGTAAAAATTAAAAAAAAATTGAGTGTGGTAAGTTGGGGAAAATGTTCTCGTTCCAGTCGGAATCAATTTTTTTTCTCAAGGAAAACTGTGTTCTGCGATAAGTCCGTTATCCGGGGTAATGTTTTAGTGTTTTTATACAGTTTGGGGTTGACATTTTAAGAAATCCGGCGAGTCCAATGAACTTTCTTGAATTTCAAAAATTTTTAAATCGAGAAGAGGCGAAGGTATGACTTTTTTTAAAACATGTTTTCCTCATATTTTTTTAAATGAAGGTACCAAGTTGAAGCGTAGACCTTGCTAAAATTGGGACGTTTTACTTGACCTTCAAATTTTCTTTTGTGTTGAAATGTTGTTGTGTGAGTTAGTTTTCACCCTCACGCCATTCACGGAATTTTGTGATGCGATTTTTTCGTTATGCGTCTATACTCATTGTCATTTCTAAGCTTTGGCCGGAAACTTCTTAAAACTGAAGCATTTTTGTCTACATAAAAAAACATAATGTGAAACATTTCGGTTCCGCGTAATAATATTTTCGTTTTCGGGTCTTTCGTTATGCGAATGCTGTATTTATTTACTTTTCTTTTTCGTGTTGTTTTCATATGGCTGATTTTTTTGGTTGCTGTGTAACCCTAAGAAGAGGAAAAACTATGCCGTTCTTCAGCAGTTTTCTTCGATTTCTTTTTAAAATTCCCAAGTTTCAGCTGAAGACTCTTTGAATATTGAAGCCATTTTTCGCCGGAAGAATTCGTTGTGTGCAAAATTTTCCTTTCGCTAGTTTTTTTTTTTTCTGAATAACTTTTATTCGGGAGTATTTCGTTATGCGGGGACTGATTTTTCCTTCTTTTCGTGGTTTAGCTCTGGAACCGTGAGAAGAAGGAAACTTCTTTTGCATTTTTCTCGAATTTTTTTTCGAATTTCAAAGTTTTAGCCCGAAACTCGTTGAAGAAGGATTTTTGCCAAACGATTCAAGTACGAAAAAATATTTTCGTTTCGCGAATCTCTGTTTCCCTGACGAATTTTCAATATGCGTGGACTAACTTTTATTTTTTTCTCAGCTATGGAGGCGTGATTGTCCTTTTTTGTGATATTCTCTCTCTTTTTTTTTTTTAATAACGACATTTAGCGTCAGACTCTGAAAGATCTTTTATTTTTTTCCCGGAAGAATCTGTCGTGTGAAGCATTTTCTTGAGTCACCGTTTCCTTGATCAATTTTCGTTGGTGGATTTTTTCGGTATGCTTGCTGGACTAACTATTTTCTCGTATTTTCTCCATTATAGGACGGATGTGTTTTTAGCTGTGGAACTCTGCATACGGATCTTTTTTAGCTTTTCGAGTTCATGACCCCGTTATTGTGATACAAGAAGCTGCGCGTCATTCGTGCCGTGGTTTTTCCATGACTCTCTACATTCGGCGGATTCCCTTCACGAGTCGTTGAAAAGGGGACGACGAGGAAGAAGAAGAAAGAAAAGAGACAGAGACGCATATCTATACATATATATTATAAACACACGTGGTGTAATTATATTTCGTGCTGACGAAGAACTGTATTTCGCACGACGAGCTGTTGTTGCTGTGAGAAGAGGGATTTGTACGGGGAAGTCCTGTCGTCGTCGTCGTCGTCGTCGTCGTGGCTGCTGCACCAGTGTGTCGGTGATGATGATGCGGGACATTGAGCTCGTGATGCTCGTTTTGACTGGTGTCGTCGTGACTTGCTTTCTCATTGGCGAAACTTCGGCGGAATTGAAGGGGGCCAACGTGTGCACGAAGCAGGAAACGTGAGTCTGTTTTTTATTTTTTATTTTTTATTTTTTGGTCGGTGTAATCAAGTATGATCCTCGAAAAGCGGTCACACCAAAATGAGAGGGTTCTATCAAAAGTTCTCGGAATAGAAATTAAAAATGGCGTATGATCGAGCTGGGAAAAATTATTCTTTATGGAAAACATATTCTTTGGCACAAAAAAAAAATCAGCCCTGTTGGAAAAAAATTTTGGAATGTTTTGCAAAATTCACCCTGGCAGAGGTTTGCTCTCCACTCAAAAGATGAGGTGCCCTTCCTGCATTTTTTTTAGCCCAGCTTTTCCTTCAGAATTCTTGAAATAAACGTGGTATTAATTCCAAGTGTTGTCTTCCAAGGTAATTCCGCCATTTCCATCAATAGCCGCCAATTTCAAGAATTAAAAAAACAATTAAAATTGGCAGAGAGTAAGTTGCACAGTGTTACCAAATGACGGCCGGGCTATGCGAGGGAAAATTTTCTTTGGGGTTTTTGAAACTCCATTGGATCTGTGTCAAAAAGTCTCAGAATTTATTATACAACCCAGAATTTATTATCTTGCATGGACGATTCGACTTAGGTAAAATCGAGCTTTAAAAAATCTGGCCCGACATCCGGACAATAACCCGACTTACGGACATTTCCCCAAAATTTCTGGGGATAAGTTTATGTATATTTTTTCTACATTTTTAGATGTTTTGAAAAAATTGAGTTAACTACAGTTACAAATGCTAAACATATAGGATAACTTGAAATTACCCGAATTGATAATCAAAAAAGCCAATTTTGTACCTTTTTTAAAAATTTATTTGATATGCCTGCTCCGTTTAGTATAACCTGTTCTTTGTTTCTTGAGCTTATTCTGATGTCAAAAGCTGAAATTCTCTCGTGTTTTCTTCTGTACGTTCATTTTCTGTACCTTCAAGTTGATGAATTTGTTTCTTGGGAGACTTTTTCTTAATTTTCGATCTGCAGGAGAATCAATTACAAATATGTCCATTGAAGTCTATGGGAAAACGAGGTCCGACATGCGGACGTTCCAACATAAGAACAAGGTTGCACAAATTACGTCCGCATCTCGAGGTCCCCGCTATGTTTTTTTTTACGCTGGAAACGTTCAGCTAGGCTATTTTTTTTCTTCGTGAAAGAAAATGCTGCATTTATTGCGGGTGGAGATCCGTTATATCGGATTTTAAGGTTTCCATAAAAAAAAAATCGATATGCCCACAGGAAATGTAATCAGAGCAGTACTGTTACCTACTGTATTTTCGAATTTTTTTTCCCTGGGGTATATGGAGGCTGTGGTTTGGGTTTTTATTTTATTTTTTAATCATTCTGCCTGTGAAAAACGTCGACGGAAGCGAAATTATTCCTTTTGATGTCGACAATAAATGTTAGAGAAGAAAATGTGTCAAAGCGCAATGTCCGGAAATTAAATTTTGGAAACAGTAACGATCATATTTTGGCTCTGATTTTGCCAAAGAAATTTACGCCCATTTGCATTATCGAGAATTTTTGCTTGGAATAATCTTCGAAGTCTCTTATGAAAAAAATGTATTGTGCTTTACCTTGAACTGAAAATTCCGAGTTTCGTTAATGATTTTATTCCCTCGCCAGTTTTGGAAAGTGAATGTTTTTCTCTTCATTTAAAAATTCCGATGCAGAAGCTGCTGAGAAATTGACGAAATATTCGAGAATCAATGCCCGAAATTTCGAATTTTTGGGGCAATTCTAATCAAGAGACGGCGTTAATTTTTTTTTTTCAAAAGCGTATTAGTGGATTCACCAAAAAAGCTTTTCTATGAATACGGTGGTACAGTATCTTTTTTGAATAAAAAAAATCGCTACGTTGGTTTTCAGATAATCTCAATTTAAGAAATTTGATTCGTTTTCAAGATATTTTACTTGGATATGCTTGACTGGAATTTTGAGCAGCTTCTGATTTGTTGTTTTCAGGTGCTGCTAACTAAACAATTTCCTTTCTTTTCAAGATTTCAAGATGTTCAATTTGTTATTATACGGTATTAATCTTTTGCATTTTTATCGAATTCTTTGACCTCGCTGTGCAAATAAATATGAATAAAAAATATTCACAATACTTTACGTCGTAAAATGCGCTTCTGATGCGGTTTTTCGCCCAAAGGTCACAAAAATAAAATAAAATATTCAACATTTGAAAAAAATACGATCACAATCTGCCCGATCTATTTATTTATTTTTGGCTTTCACAGAAACAGCGGTTCTTCGTCAGGGAACGAGTTTGTCTCCATTCTTCCGGATTATTATTCATTCTGTGTCTTTAAAAAATCCGCATTCATTCGCAGGAATGTGTTCCCTCAACTATGTGAAAATAATATGGATCAAGGTCGGTGGAAGTGAATATTGACTTGAGATGTTGGTAACAAATGTCTGCCTTTTCCGGTTCATCAAATACCACGGCCGTAAAACCACATATTTGCACCTTCTCTTGACAAACAGAAATAAAAATTTGATCAGCATAATATTTTCAGCACTGATCTTGAAACTTCTTTTCCGCAGTAAAACAAAACAAAAAAATTAACCCAAGGTATAGAAGAGAGAATATTCAAGAGGGCGTGTCGACAAGTTTCCGGTAATTACAGTATATCTCATTTAAATTTACTTCATAAATTTAAATTATATTTTCTCTATGGTCGGAATTATTTTTCCTGAACGCTTTGATGATGCGGGACATTGAGCTCGTGATGCTCGTTTTGACTGGTGTCGTCGTGACTTGCTTTCTCATTGGCGAAACTTCGGCGGAATTGAAGGGGGCCAACGTGTGCACGAAGCAGGAAACGTGAGTCTGTTTTTTTATTTTTTATTTTCATTTTTTTTGGTCGGTGTAATCAAGTATGATCCTCGAAAAGCGGTCACACCAAAATAAGAGGGTTCTATCAACAGTTCTCGGAATAGAAATTAAAAATGGCGTACATATTCTTTGGCACAAAAAAAAATCAGCCCTGTTGGAAAAAAATTTTGGAATGTTTTGCAAAATTCACCCTGGCAGAGGTTTGCTCTCCACTCAAAAGATGAGGTGCCCTTCCTGCATTTTTTTTTTAGCCCAGCTTTTCCTTCAGAATTCTCGAAATAAACGTGGTATTAATTCCAAGCGTTGTCTTCCAAGGTAATTCCGCCATTTCCATCAATAGCCGCCAATTTCAAGAATTAAAAAAACAATTAAAATTGGCAGAGAGTAAGTTGCACAGTGTTACCAAATGACGGCCGGGCTATGCGAGGTAAAATTTTCTTTGGGGTTTTTGAAACTCCATTGTATCTGTGTCAAAAAGTCTCAGAATTTATTATACAACCCAGAATTTATTATATTGCATGGACGATTCGACTTAGGTAAAATCGAGCTTTAAAAAATCTGGCCCGACATCCGGACAATAACCCGACTTACGGACATTTCCCCAAAATTTCTCGGGATAAGTTTATGTATATTTTTTCTACATTTTTAGATGTTTTGAAAAAATTAAGTTAATTGCAGTTACAAATGCGAAACATACAGATTAACTTAAAATTACCCGAATTGATATCAAAAAAGCCAATTTTGTACTTTTTTAAAAATTTATTTGATATGCCTGCTCCGTTTAGTAAAACCTGTTCTTCTTTGTTTCTTGAGCTTATTCTGAAGTAAAAAGCTGAGATTCTCTCGTGTTTTCTTCTTTACGTTAATTTTCTGTACCTTTAAGTTGATAAATTTGTTTCTTGGAAGACTTTTTCTTAATTTTTTATCTGCAGGAGAATCAATTACAAATATGTCCATTGAAGTCTATGGGAAAACGAGGTCCGACATGCGGACGTTCCAACATGAGAACACGGTTGAACAAATTACGTCCGCATCTCGGGGTCCCAACTATATTTTTTTTGACGCTGGAAACGTTCAACTAGGTTATTTTTTTCTTCGTGGAAGAAAATGCTGCATTTATTGCGGGTGGAGATCCGTTATATCGGATTTTAAGGTTTCCATTAAAAAAAAAATCGATATGCCCACAGGAAATGTAATAAGAGCAGTACTGTTATTTACTGTATTTTCGAATGTTTTTTCCTTGTATATGCAGGCTGTGGTTTGGGTTTTTATTTTATTTTTTTAATCATTCTGCCTGTGAAAAAACGTCGACGGAAGTAAAATTATTCCTTTTGATGTCGACAATAAATGTTAGAGAAGAAAATGTGTCAAAGCGCAATGTCCGGAAATTCAATTTTGGAAACAGTAACGATCATATTTTGGCTCTGATTTTGCCAAAGAAATTTACGCCCATTTGCATTATCGAGAATTTTTGCTTGGAATAATCTTCGAAGTCTCTTATGAAAAAAATGTATTGTACTGTACCTTGAACTGAAAATTCCGATTTTCGTTAATGATTTTATTCCCTCGCCAGTTTTGGAAAGTGAACGTTTTTCTCTTTACTTAGAAATTTAGCTGCAGACGCTGATGAGAAATTGACGAAATATTCGAGAATCAAAGCCCGAAATTTCGAATTTTTAGAGCAATTCTAATCAAGAGACGGCGTTAATTTTTTTTTTCAAAAGCGTATTAGTTGATTCATCAAAAAATCTTTTCTATGAATACGGTGGTACCGTATCTTTTTTGAATAAAAAAATCGCTACGTTGGTTTTCAGATAATCTCAATTCAAGAAATTCGATTCGTTTTCAAGATATTTTACTTGGATATGCTTGACTGGAATTTTGAGCAGCTTCTGATTTGTTTTTTTCAGGTGCTGCTAACTAAACAATTTCCTCTGTTTTAAAATTTAAAGATGCTTGATTTTTAATTCACGGTAAAATTCTTGTAAATGTTTTAAGAATTCTTTGACCTCTCTGTGCAAATAAATATAAATAAAACATATTCACTATACTTTACATTGTAAATTGCGCTTCTGATGCGGTTTTTCGCCTGAACATAAGAGAAAAAAGCATTAAAATATTAAAAATTTCAAGAAAAGGATGCGATCAAAATCTGCCCGATCTATTTATTTTGTTTTTTTCACAGAAACTTCGGTTCTTCGTCAGGGAACGAGTTTGTCTCCATTCTTCCGGATTATTATTCATTTTGTGTCTTTAAAAAAATCCGCATTCATTCGCAGGAATGTGTTCCCTCAACTATGTGAAAATAATATGGCTCAAGGTCGGTGGAAGTGAATATTGACTTGAGATGTTGGTAACAAATGTCTGCCTTTTCCGGTTCATCAAATACCACGGCCGTAAAAACACATATTTGCACCTTCTCTTGACAACAGGAGTAAAAATGTGATCAGCATAATATTTTCAGCACTGATCTTGAAACTTCTTTTCCGCAGTAAAACAAAACAAAAAAATTAACCCAAGGTCATCTTCTCTCTTATAAGTTCTCCCGCACAGCTGTTCAAAGGCCATTAATGTCATATAGAGTAAATTTAAATGAAGTATTTAAATTTAATATAAAAGAGATACCAGCCTTAATAAAAAGGACTTGCGATGTTACTCTATTTTTTGAAAACAGCAGCTTGCGACCGCGCCATATTTTTTGTAGCTGCGTAAGAAAGCTATGAAATCAGCCTTTATTTTTCCGAATTTCATTTATCATGTCGTGAAAGAAAAATTGAGGGCAAGGGAAAGGTCTTTCGACTTCACTGACGAAAGTTCATACAGGGTGGACGAAACAAAAGCACAACCCGGACAAAATCTTTGATGTCTTCTGTTGCAATGTAAGGCTTTTAAAATAAGAAAAGAAACAAAATGTGATATTGAAGCTCATTCAATTGTTTGTTGGTGGAACGCCTTTGTAAAAAAAAAAAAAAGTTGAAGAAATATGTCCATCACGCGCATTTGAATCAAATGCACCCGAGAAAAAAATTTATGTTTCTGTATACTTTTTAAAAGAGGACCCAGGCCAAAGTTGACCTAGTTACGCGTGGCTTAAAAATAACTTGAGGATTCCACTTTGATCAGGAATTTTTTCGCGTTTTTTGGAACAATATTTCTGGATTTTGAATTTTGTTTGCAAAATTTCCCTGCAACATTTTTCGACAAAGATGGATTTTCAGACAAAGAAAATCATGAGATTTAACGTATTAAGTGTTGCCCAGAAATTCGGACACCCCGACATACGAACAATTCAACTTGGAGAAGCTTGGGAAATTCAAAAAAATTGGCCTCGACATGCGGACACTTTTCAGCAATTTTCTACGTTTTAATTTCTCTAAATTTCAATATCTCTTGAACAAATTGCGCTATTTATATTTACAGAAGTTAAAAATGAATGAAATAATATAATTACTCGAATTTATAATCAAAAACATATTGATTCATCTGTGCACAGGATAGCAAGACATATACTTTTTGTTTGTATTTTTGAGTCTTTTTTCTTGCCAGAGGACCATTTTCTGTGTGATGGGTTTCTTTATTCTGTATCTGTAAGTTGAGAAAGAAATTTTAATTAATTTTTGGGGGATTTATTCATGGTTTCCCATGAACTGTAAAACCCATTAAATGAGTTCCGTTTGAAGTGAATGGTAAAACGAGGTTAGAGATGCGGACATTCCGACATGTCCGCATCTCGGGGTCTCATTTTGATTTATTTTGAATATCAAAAGTTTTTTTTAAAGAAGTCCATTTTTTGTGTGTGACCCTGTACTCGTTATACTTCGCCTACTTTTCCAGAAATTTGCATTCAAAATCCGTTTTCGATGCATTATTCATGACGTGGCTGATTCGGTGGAACGCGAGGGGTTTTAAATAAACTCGTAAAAGTTTCAGCCTTTCTTGCTTGAGTTATTAAATTTTTTTGGATATGAAGATGTGATTAGTTCGCCTTGTTAAATACTGTTAATCACGGAAATATTAGACTCTTGATTTTAGTTAGTTCCCTTTTCTTTGGGTAGCTTATCGTGGACGTCATACGCTTCTAACTTCTAGAAGCTGGGGGAGTCCTAAAGCATAGAAAGAATTGAGTCATCATTAATCAATATGCTTTTAAAATACTGTAACATGCAAGATGATGAAACTCTATTTTTACGAGGAAAATGAAATGAACTTCAGTAAACAGGATATTTTGAGTTGGTAAAATAGCGGGCTTGTATTGGATTTTTTAGGATATTTTTCCTGAAGATAGCCTACCCTTATAATTATTTTCTTCTTTAAAATATTCCTAGTTATCAATATGTTTTTTTCGCGCAGAAATAACTTGATTTTTTTAGTGTAAGAAATGTGGGTCCAGTTATTTATTAATCAGAGAAATCAGCTGACGAACAGCGGAAAATCAATCACAAATTCACGTTGTGAATTTTTCTTTATTACAAATGCATTCAACAAGACTTCCGCAAAATCGGGGGATAATTTTTGTGTGTACAAAAGCGAATTCTAACGCAAAACAATTTTATTCGATCCCGATGTAGTTATATCATAAATGGGCATTATACGGAGATTGAAGCAAAATTGAAATGAATTATTCTCGTCAGTGACGAGGCCATTTGAAGGAAGTTTCCGCAGGAGCAATTTTTTGCTAGCTGCTGGGAATTTAAATGAGACACAACGAAGAATCGACATTTAATGCACGCACGAGTCCAATGTTCTTATTGTAAAATGAGATTTCCGTAAAATTTCTTACTTGACTTTGTCTTGTGGAAATTTCCGCGTTCCCTTCTCGTCAATTTTTTTTCTTCTTATGTTTCGCTCCCTTTTAAAATTTAATTTTTTATTTTCGTTTGAATATAATTATTCTGAGATTTAAAAAGAAAATAATTGCGTACTAAAACAGCTTGTGAAGAAAACAGCAAATATAAAAATATATTTTTCGGAAATTGGAATTATTCTTTTTTCACTACCTGTTTAAATTCTGAATTAATCCTTCGATCAGTGTTCTTTTGTGTCATTTTTTTCGTTTTATTCTTCGCTCTTTTGATACATTTATCTTGTCACATGTCAACTATTGTGAGTCTGTTTCAGGTCAGAGTCCTCGAACATTTATTCTCGTAAAATCGCCATTCAATGGATCAATTGAACGAAAAAAATCGAACTCGTTTAAAGTTGAAAGGTATCGGAACACAAGAATCTGTAAAAATCTCTTGACTCAATTTTACTACAGTACAAGTAAAAAATTAGATTTGCAATTAGAACAATGGACGATTTTGAAAAGAAATATATAATTAAATTATTCTTATAAATAAAGGAACAACTGATTTGCCTTTGCTTTTAGGAATTTCTGACTTGGGATGAAGTGTAAACTAAAAAAATTAAATTTGAAACATTTCTTGGAAGATTCGGAAGATTATTCTGTCTCACCCACGGCTTAGCATAGAAACACAAGAATCTGTAAAAAAAAATCTCATTGAAAATCACGGCGAAGCTACGCCTCAGAAAATGTCTCGAAATTTTTACAATAAGTTTGAAAGTTTTAATGAATCTTGAAAAATGCGATTCAGACCCAGCAGACTGCTAATCAGAGTAAATTTGTTGGCGTCGTAATGACGCGATAGCCACACTAAGTTTCGCAGTAATGATCGCTTCATGAAGTGCTCATGAATTTGTTTTTCTTTAATTGGCAGTTATGTGGACACTGTGAAGGTCAGTTACCACAAACCGTACCAAGTCCGCACGCATACTTGGTGCCTTGCAGTACCTCCGAGGTGCACCAAGTACAAGATCGCCTACAAAATCGGCTACCGGAATGAGGTGAGACCTTTTTCTTTTTAATTTTCGCAAAATTGAATGCGGAAAATTGAGTGTATTTTGTCCACATTTTAATGTACGAGGGTTGGTTCATAAGTTTCGAGACGTCTTGAAACACATCCAAAACGGAGTTTCCGAAATTCCAAAACAATAAATGTTTCGTCGTTTGATAGCCTTCCGTCATTTGGCAACACTTCGGGGGGGGGGGGGGGGGGG